TAAAGGAAAAAACTAAATAAAATCTCATATCACACAAAAATGTTATTTTTGTTTTTTATATATCATTTTGACTGAAAATATTTTTTTCTAATCTAGCAGAACTTTATCGATACAAATGCAAGTCATCAAAATGTTGCAGCCACCTTAATCCTCTTATCACTGTAGAGAAGTTTTATTTCATTGGTTAGTGATAATCACAGTAGAATTTGTGGAAACAGAACAAAGAAAACAGCTCCATATGGCAAATTGCATTAAAGTAACTTCATGACTAGACTTGTACAAGTGTTCACACATCAAAGACCAATTTGTATAGAAAGGGCCAAAAAACATATCATCACATATTGGAGGTGGGCACAAAATACAGGTCTACATCCTATTTAAATTAATGGAAAAACTTTGGAAAACTTTTTGGTTGGTCACAAATGAGAGATGGGCAGAAAGAAGAGTTGGTCCCAAAGAAAGATTTTACTATATATATAGTAATTATATATATATATATGTTTTACGTTTCAATTAACAGAAAATTTACCCACATACAATCAATAAAGTACAATTTTACAATCTAAAAGTTAAAGCTTCAATTTTTAGATAGAAATATAAATTTCATTAAGTTTTGAATTAGTTTCAAATAAAATCATACTACTGCATCATGATACTTTGATACATTTTATTATAAACAAACAAACAGAATCAATACCAAGTCTGTAGAATCTTGTAATAAGAAAAACCAATAATTTTAATGCATTATAGAATCAAAAAATTAAAATTTCATTAAAAATTTTTTTATCAAAATACATACAGACAATAACAATTATGATGATATAATGCAAAATACAGGGTGGTCATAAAGTCCATGTGCAATTTTACACTTCAATAACTTAAAGATGTACAAATGTTAAAACTATGCAATAAATATTTGAGAACTTTTTAAGCTTTTTACACAATAATTTTATCAATGTATAACTTATTTATTTTATTTATAGATTCCATTAATAATGCCAAATAGTGATACAATCAATTCTGTTTAATTGGGCCACCAGTTAATTGGGGCAGCCACTTTATTGGGCCAAATCCCAAAGAACGAAAACCAAACTAATAAATTAATACATAATCGCTTAATTGGGACAGTAGCAGAAACGGAATTTAGAAAGTTTTGATATATTTTAGGGATCTTCCAAAAATATGTAGACATTACATACACTAATTAATGTCTTGTAGGCCTAACGGTTGGCAGAGACAAAGCANTAATTTTCAATTTTTTTTTCTTTATAGCAAATTTTCACAGAATTTGATGTCTCCATTGTATCAGTAATGGTATTATTCATTCATTTTTAGTGTGACAAATAAATACTTACTCACAATTAACAAATATCTGAACCACATTTTATTATCTATATACTTAGCAATAATTATTCTATAAATAAAAAAAAAAAAAAAAAATCAGTGAAATATAAATATCAAACATATTTATATGTATAATTTAAAATTTTACCATAACGTCTCTTTGTTGTCTTTTGTTCTGCTGTTTCTATATTTGGAGAAATTGCACATTTTAGTAACCAATCTGGTAATGTGCGTTTCCTTTCACTCAACTTTGCTGCCTTGTTATCACCATGATTATTGGTATTCTAATTATAAAAAATTTGTAATTAATAGGTAAAAGATATTCTTTAATCTATATTAAGTAAAATAAAAAATTAATTAATATAGTATATAAAATTTAACATATAAGTTTGGAACACAGTCAAACCCTTTATATACATTTCCAGAATTTTCTTTGCAATTTACATGATATTTTCTGATCCCAATTTTTCCTACATTTTATATATAAATTTTCCCATAATTTTCCCATACATTTCAGTTTTTCTACATTTTCCACAATTTACTTTTTTTCCAGAGGCTCTATGAAAAAGTAAATAAGAGGTTTAACTGTATTTTTAAAAAATTTTATTAGAAAATTATCATCCATTCATACCTTTTGTTTAGATTTAGTTTCTTCTTTTTCTGAAAATATCTAAATATAAGAGACAATAGAAATAGTGAATTAACTATATTTGTTTATGAAATGAAATCTTGAATAGATTAACACAAAGATAGAATGAATGATTAACTATTTAACATAGAATTGCTGAGTGAGTACACTGAAGTAATTTTCAACAAATTAAATTTGATATTCAAAATATGTATAATATAGCTTAAATAAAAGTTTTTATGATAAATTATCAACACATCTTATAATAGATCTACATTCAATATTGTAATAAATAGGTTTGATTTGATATTATTTTTATATTATGATTTTAAAAAACTATCAATATCTTTAAAAATTATATTTATCAGAAAATTAATTATATTAGAATTAAATATTAAATTATTAGAAAATATATTAAGTTAATTATAACAGAAAAATATATATTAACATTTACCCTGTTACGAACGTAATATTACGTTTCGTGAAGATTTTGGTAAAAAACGAAAAACATAATATTACATTTTTCTATATATCAAGTTATTTCTAGCTTTAAAATGTAACATTATATTTTCAGCAATGAAAATACGATTTCTTTGTGTATTTTAGTGTGTCTGTTAATAAATAGTGGGCACTATTTATTCAGAAATTTGAAATATAAGCGATTTTTGTATAATCGCGATAATCGTCTGATTTAAAGTTTCATCACCATATTTTGCAAGCGAATATTGAGTCGTTACATTTATAATATATGAGTTAAGTTTAGATATGGCGCATTAACGTACTAACTAATAATTGTTTGAATTCATTAATAAAAAAAATCAACAAATATAGTGCCGATTATATTGATTTATCTGACAAAAATGTCACGATTATGATTTAGGCCTAACTGAGATTGAAAAAATAGAAATAAGCCACGTAATTTCATTATTATTTTAAACCTGTATAGTTTATATGATATTACATAATTTATATACTTTTTAGATACTATCAACATAAAAGTCAAATTCCAAAATTTCTGATAGTGCTAATGCCATCTTATGTACATTTGCCGAACCAACTCAATTATGAAAAACAGCTACAGTCAGAAAAAGTCTACTAATAATATTGATACAGTACATCATTATTTTGAATAAATTCATTGATGTACTACATATTTCATACATAAAAATACAAATTTTATAGCTGTATTGCAGTTTTTAATTTTTTTCATTTTATCTTTATCTCTAAAACATGTCCAAATAACATTAAAGTATAATACATAAAAACAAAGCACACACACACACATCAAAACTGAGTAATGTACAGATAAATGTTACCAATATCAGACACTGTTTTTACTTTCTACCTAGCTTTAGTCTTTGTCATTCAATCCTACTGATGTTTAGATCTAACATTAAGCAGGCAAACACGAACAGTAACAAAAAAGAACTTTATTAGAAAAGGTTAGAACTGTCACAGACATCCTCGGGCAACACCCGGACAAAATCCAACGAACTTTCGCGCCTTTTCTTTTTTTGACGTTGCCAGCCACTCTTGTTGGCAAGTGTTGCCAGACAGTGTTCAGGATCTCTGGCGCTGGCGGCCACAGCTACTCCCCCACCAGTGTCTGAGACACGAAACGAACGGGAAACGATACATGTCGGCCAGAGCGCGTGGTAGTTTGTCGCGTTGGGGCTCGATCTTCTGTCGTATGTTTAGTCGTCGCTGGTCTTGGCATTGGAGACGTTGGGGGTAACTGGTCCGACTCGCTCGCTGCGAGAATAAAAGCCGGTTTCAGGCGATCAATAGAAACTACAGTTTCTTTTCCCTTTATGCATAGAGTGAATGTCTTGCTACCGCGTGACACGACTTCGTAGGGTCCATCGTATGGAGGCTGCAAGGGCTTCCGTACAGCATCATTGCGGAGAAATACGTGGG